TATCGGAAGTTTTCCAACCATCCGCTTTTTCATCATGGTAATGTCGCCTATTGTCCGCCATAGGAGGTATAGGACAATTACTTTTTCAATACGAAATGTACGAAGTGGTTGTTGTTTATGTAAGCTAGTCCATGCTCTCGTATGTTATCGGAGGGCAGCGGTTCAATGTTTAAGGGAAGGAAAGTGAGACATTGTTGTGGCGCTAAGTAGACGAGCACAATATTGTACGTAGAGGCAATGATATGACCCATATCGGGTAAGGACATCCAATACTCTCTTGTAGCATATTCGTCCAAACAACATAGTCGCGTTTCCAACGCACAAATGTTTTCACGACGACGATGCATCTTCATGTGTATTGCTTCGTTCTTATATAGCTCATTAAGCATGTCTCCTCGTACATGCTTCCAATTTTTTTCTCCGAAACCCATCAACGATGCAACCGCTCGAAATCCACAATGACCATCCGAGTCAGCATTCTTTATGATTTTTACATAAGTCTGAAACATTGGATGGATTTGGTCAAGAAACAAAGCCTTGTCGTTGACTTTTCGACCCTGACAAATTAGAAAATGAAAGGAGTTTAGAGGGACAAAGAAATTTAGCAAAAATAAAGAAGACGTTCAAATACTCACTGGCAACTTTCGTAATAAAATGGTTTTAGCCGACTCTTGTGACGGCACTTTGAATTTTCCCAGCCCAATAGGCGGCATTAAATCCACTTTCATAGTTCGTGGAATTTTAGGACAAACCAACGTCACGCCTTCGAGCTTAATTTATTGACAACGTATTCAAATTAGCAATTTACCAAATCAACATCAACAACTCCAAAAATTGAAGATAAGTAATCGAATTTACCTTAGGAGAACAACTATCTTGTGTCGATGGTGGATACTCATGCCTCGATAGGTTGCGACAGGTTGATTCATCAACCACCTTTAACTTTTTTCCCGGTCGACCTCAAGTGGCGGCCTTTTCCGATGGTTCCATTGTAGATGTTCGTTGAGGATATACAATGTAGCTGAACTTATTAAGCATTTCATTCCTTTCATCTACATCGGCCGACGCAAACCGCTTGTGCCACCCTTTCATGAGTTCTTCATCATTTGAAAGCTCTCATTGACCAATAACCGGCTCCATACTCATATGCTTCCAAATGGAGCCTACTAATGCAAGTGGAACATGAGATTTCTTCGTGACAAACTCGCGAAGCTCGTAGTAACATGGTAGATCGTGTGTTGAACGGATAGCACATTCACATAGCATGTCACTGTTTGGAAGCAACTTTTGTGCTTTATCAAGCTCAATTTTAAGATGGTCAAGGGCGCATTGCGAGACAGCTCCTCGAGGCTCACTATAGATTGGTTTCTTGAAACAACGGAGGCATGTATTCTTGCTCTTCTCAAATGATGCCCTTATGTGATCATGTTGCGTTATAATACTACTGTTGATATGTTCATACACCTGAACAAATGTGCCAAGGCAATTTCCCATATCGCTCTTCAGCCGAGAATGCGCACCCTCCGCCCGGTTTGAAGTGTAAGTACCGAAATGTTGATACTTTTTAGTCCATACCGATATAAGCCTCTCCTTGTACGGATCCAACCATGATTTGGTAAGTTATGCTACGGCATCCGGATAATCAACAAAAGTCCGTTGCATTTTCTCTCAATATCTATTGAATATCTCTTCGGACTCCACTTCAATAAGAGTCGCTCAATCTCTATTAAACTGATTCCACAACTTGTCAGATGAGAACATCGCCTTACAGGTGGAATATATATTCTTGTTCACATGCCAACGACACAACAAGTGATGACTGGTTGGATATAAATCCCCAACCGCTTTCATTAAACTCAATTCCCGATCAGTTACGATGCAATTAGGCGGAGGACAATTTCCGAGTATCTTCTCCAAACTTTGCAATGCCCAAACTTAGTTCTCCGTCTTTTCGTACTCCAATTAAGCAAAGACAATGAAGAACATCTTGTGCGTACATGTAAAGCCAGTAATCTCAAGTAATAGGAGTTTATATTGATTGGTTTTGTATGTCCAATCCATGATGAATACGTACGGATAGCTACGAGCTAACTTAACACAACTCGGATGAGTCCACACCATATCGATTACCTCTTTATTATTGTTAACTCTATGGTAGAAGGTATACTTATCTTTTGTCAACCTCGCCAACAATTCTTGCATTTGAGTTCTTCCAAATCTCTCTTTCAATTGCAACTTCTGACGGTGATTGTAAATTGTCCTCATTCCAGTTACATTCGTCTCGTCCCTTATCTTCAATGATTTGAGAATCGCCTTCCCCTTCGCCTTCGCCATTGCTTTAGACATACCTTCAATAAGTACCATCTCTTCTTTTGTTAGTCTCCTGGCATAAGAGTGGCCGTGCAAGTTCTCAAAATCTGTGTGGTTATGAGTACCCCATTCAACTTTTAAATCCCACCCAACATTATCAGTATCCTTTCCTCGCTTTGTCCCCTTTAATCTAAATGCGCAATTGCATTTTTTAGAACACCTCCTCCCATTTCCCTCTCCTTGGTCATCCTCACGGGCTTTCTTCTTCCCACGATATTCACCCGCGCACTCACATGCGAGTACAACATACGGTCTTCTACGCCCTTTCAATCGCGGTTTTGAAACAAAAATGTTTATCACCATTCTGTGGCGTCTACCAAATCTCACGTGTCTCAAATATTTGTTCGGTAGCATATTCATTCAAATAATTCTCCATCAATCCCCTAGGTTGCTGCAAGAAAGTATGGGAAAACGGTCTTAAAAAAACATAGATAATAAAACTCGGTACTCAAAAACCGATTTTATGTAGTCCAAGTCGGCATGATAATACGGATGATAGACAAACAAATCGCCATTGTCATGCAGCTTTATACTAGAACAATCGATTTTTGAGTACCGAGTTTTATTCCAGTAATCGGAATGTGGTTGCTCGACTTTCGTAAGAAAAATAGGTTTATGAGTACCGATTTTTGGTATCGTCGACTTTTTTTTTCCAACAAAAAGAAAACGACCCAAAAGCAAAAATAAACGGTTAAAACATACTTTATTGTGTTCTCCACCCTTGTAGACCACCATATCATTGTTTTCTGGCTCCATCGTGAATGTTTGGTGTGTATTTGATAATTTCGGTGTGTAGAGTTTCTTAGTGGGTTTGTGAAGGAGAAGGAGGAGATTTTTAAGTTGTGAAATAATATAGGGGGGTTTATGGGTTCATGTATTTTATTTGGTCTTGCACAAAGGAAATTTTTTATTTTTTATTTTTTTAATGTTTTGTGTTTTTTATTTGGTTTTGAATTTCATTAAGGGTAAATTAGTATTTTTATGTTGGAGGTCTTAAACTAATAAAAAAATGGGCTTGCATATAACCGCCGCATTTCCTATATTTGGGATTGTATATAGAGACTCTAACTTAATGTTGTCACACGGTAAATTAATAAAAAAAATTAAGAAAATTAAATTTTTATTTTTGTGGTTGAAATATTTATTTTTGTTACTTGAAATATTTATTTTTGTTGTTGAAAATACGAAAACAAAAAAATCATTTTTTTCCCTAGCTGAGATATGTATTAAAAAATTAAGATAATGTAAATAAAAGCTAACTATCGAAAATTTAATGTACAAAACTAAGCTATAATCTAGTCATAATAAGAAATAAATTATAAATGAATACATAAAATTGATTTTTTAGAACTCCTTGTTGGGGATGAACTTTTTTTTTTAGATCCATTTTACATACTCCATTGGAGATGCCCTAACTAAACATAAGACTAAAAAAAAACACTATTTTACTAAGACGAAAATAAAGAAATGACAAATATGTCCATTACTTATATTTCTCTTGTTTTATTGTTGCAACACAAAAAAGACAAGTTATTTCTGCAAAATCAGGAAAAAAAAAATAATTCAAGACTAGACACAGCAAAACCAATCACCATCAGAGCAAAACTTGCTGGCAATGTGTTGCCGTCGACGGAACCGAGCTAGTCACCGGAGCAAACCGTCCAACACCGAAACACCCAAGCAAAATCTTCAACAATTTTAGTTTTCGATATTTCCAAAAATTGGGAAAAATCGAAAGGATTTTTGTAACAATAGATTTTTTTAATTTTTTTGTCAAAATGCCATTAAAAAGTCACTATGAGCACGTAGTTGTGTTATTATGTTGAAGAATCAACAATTTAAGGATACAATGAATGATTTTCTTGAAAACTATCGAACCCAGAAAATCGACATGCAAATGTTGATTTTTTGTATGGTTGGTCGACATTTGTTGATTTTGTGGGTAACTTTTCGACATGTTGATATATTTGCTACTTTTCTCGACATTAAGATGACTGTTCCTTTTTCTTTTTATTTTGACAATACAATCAACATGTAGTTGTAGATTTTTCATTTTTGCGACAAAAATCTATGTACGAATGTCGACTCCGGTTTGCGTGGAATTGTTTTTAAAAAACAAACAAAAATGGTCACATAGCTAAAAAACACACATTAATATATGTTCTTATGGGTTACTCTACTGTAGAATCTTTCATTTTGATGTTTTGTTTATGTAGATAAAGGAGAGAGCATTTGTGGATTGTTGGAAGAAGAAGAAGATGGTTTGTGGTCTTGTACCCTTTTGCCTTTTTTTTTTATATTTTATTTTATTCTTATTTTTTCTAAATTGCGGTGTTATAGTATATTTACATCATAAATTTTGACTGGTCTTCCCTTTAGTGAAATTAGTATTACAAATACTCACGGCCTATAAAATATTATAAACTTCAGAACTTAGTCACCAACAAATAAGGTACTAAACTAGAGTTCTATTTAGAACAAGCTAGAAACTGCGACAGTTTTAACATTTTTAAAAAAGAAAAAACATTAGTCCCTTATTTATATTTTTACTATACACAATTTCATACACTCTTACTAAATTCCTGAATTCCTGCAATCTTATTAAATTCTTGAATTCTTGAGTTCAAAGTTTCTTACAAGCCAAAGAAAATTGGTTCTGAATTTCAGTTCACTATTATAACATTACTACATTAAGAAAAAATATGTGATTCATATGTATCCTTGGTTCCTATCAAATTTGATAATGTTTCACTTAGTTGAACAACTAACTGATCAAGAAGTTGTGAATCTTTCTGGTGGAGACATTTCTTTTCTTAGCTCCTTTTTGTCCCCCCCCCCCCCCCCCACGAAAGCTATGTTAGCCTCCCAGAATGTGTTGTGAACGCTAAGTGATGGAGAACGAGTAAAGAACTTAAAAGAAGAGAGCTTTGTAGGAAAATACGTGTATTGCTTGAGTGCTTACAATAACTTAGATTTCTTGGATGCTTACAAATGAAGTCCCTACTCCTATTTATACTAGGTCATCTCCTTAATTGATGGTGGAGATCTACTTGATCTAAGGGCTAGGAGTTGTTCACTAGAACACTCCAAAAGAGTTTCTACAAAATATCTACAAAGAGAGGGGTTCTAGAAAGTTTTCCAGAATCCACTAAGAACCTCTACAAAGCCGGCCAACTTGGGCCTAACCCTATATAGACTATATTCGGACTCCTTAACCTCCCATATCCAAGGGAAACTGGCAAAGGGTTGGGCCAAAACTGACGGGTATTTTTGTTTTGACAAAAAAAAAAAAAAACTTTTATTTCATCAAAAAAGGGTCTCGTTAAAAACTTTATTGGCCATAACAATAAAAAGAGCACCCCATGATTACATATATTCGCTACCTAAAAATAAAGCAAAACATCTCCAATATGTCTTAATGATATCTGCTTGAGCTACCAAGTTTCACGAAAGAACCATCAGCTAAGGGCGAAAAGCCCAAATCCCTAACCTATCACCATGAATAGTTGTCCAAGCCAAAGAAGGCAACAATTGACACCTCGAAAAAACTCTCTTTTGTACGTGTGTGTGTAGCCATATGTGAAAGCCGATGAACATGACCGATCATTACGTACTCTGAACAAGAACAAAGTAATCTACGTACCAATATTCTAAGTCCATGGAATCCGTTTGTGCAGACATAATGAATTGAGTACAAGTAGGAATCACTCTCAATCATTACATGTGTACTACGAGACCATTAACGTTTTAAGCCTTCACGAAATGCCATGATCTCAATTGTATTATTATTAGAATTGAGAAGAGTAATAGAAAACTCTCATAACCTATGGATTGATTTGCATTGATAGATTACATAAATATAAATATTACAAGGTAATAAACTATTCTAGGTAATTGAATCATAACTAATCTAGGTAAGATAATCATACTAATCTAGGTAACATAATCATAGTAGAATCCTAATATTACAAGAGTTCTATAATATAATATACTTCAACAATTATTCGAACCAAAACTATAAAAAGAATGGAAAATCCGGTAATAATATTGATACACCTATGTGGGCCCCCAATTGACCCACCAACTATTCTATTATATTAGGCCGAAATACTAATATAATGGGCCCACTAATTATCCTACCATAATAGGCCGGAAACAAGGCCCAATAGCTCACCAGATAAAGGGTTCGAGCCATTTATATCATTTCAAGACCTAATTAGAGTTTAATCTAAGTTCAACTAGACTTATACTCTAACTAGGAGTCTACCTTTAATTAAGTATAAATAGAACCCATGGCTCTTTAAAAAATGTATGTCCAAAACTATTCTCATAAGTCTCATTACTTGAGAATCTTCAACCCTATCTTTTCTCCAAGCATTTTTCTTGAGCATTGGAGGGATTTTCGCCGGATCAACTCCCGATTTAATTCACATGCTTAAGTCTTGCAGGTTAATACGTTTTGGTTCCTGTGTGATTAGGTCATCTAGTCGCGTGCAGAGACCATCCCAATAATCTGATATAAATCAATCAAGGTAATCTTTACACCATCATTCTGGCGCCGTCTGTGTGAGATGTCAACCAAATCATCGTGACGTAGACCCTTGATCAAGACAATCACAAAACCGCCACCTCCGCTGCAACTAACCAGAAGAGGAATCCTTCACCACCCCCTATCGCGGGTAATCGAATGTCGCTGAATAACATCGATGCCCCTCCGCCTCCACAAAAAAAAAAAAACATCATTGCCCCTCCTCCTCCACAAGACAACATTGCTGCCCCTCTGTCTCCAAAAGACACATCGTTGCCCCTCCGCTTCCACAAGACAACAATGGTGCTCGTCAGCCCCCTCAAGACAATCATGGTGCTCCTCCGCCACCGCAAGATGACACTAGGCCAGACCCTCTGTGCATCGTCCAGATAACTGAAGAGGCGACTTATGATCGAGGAGGTGTCTGTTGGGATGTGAAGCCCATGAGCCAATGAAATCCGTGTGAGGTTCTAGATTAGCCAATTTTTGTTTTTAATTGGCATGCATAGATTTGATTTAGTTAAAGTGGAATAAATTTAATCCATGAACTTACTTTTGGGAGGTCAGATCCAATCTATCTTCGGCGCAAGAACGATGACCTCTCACCACTCATTGCTTCTCAAAATTTGCAGAGCTTAAAACCACTAATCTTCTATTTGTATATCCTGAATTTATTTTTCTATGATTGTGGGATCATGCCTAGAAAAATATATAACTCCATAATCTAAGAAAATAATGAAAAAGAAGAGAAAATAGTTTTGCTTATTTTTTTTTT